ATGATACACCTCTGGGGCAGGTTGGTATTTGGACTTGAACATTCTGACCCAGATGCAAGGACAGAGTCACTATGCCACAAGATCCTAACAAGTGGCAGAAACACACTTTACCACCTCACAGGGATACCAAAGCTTTTCTGATGCTTCTGCCTGGCTTTGAATTGGGACCTTTTGCACGTTAAGCATGTGTACCAACCACTACATTACAGAAAAATATTTATGTTTATTAATTTTAAATGCTACCAAGTCCTTTACTGCTACAGTGATTGCATTAATCTATGTGAAGTGACAGCATCTGCAGAGAGAAGTCAGAATTAATGCTTCAGATCCAATGAACCTTCCTCAGAACATCTTTCAGCAATTTCACCTTTTGCAGACAGACTACATCTATCTAGCAACAAAATTTAAAAATAACTTATTAAAACAAAATGTAATAAAATTTTAGTTTGGAAAGTAGTCTGACCTGCAAAAGTTCTATTCAGAAACTTTAAAGCTACAACTTTGAAATAAAAATATTGATTATTGCTGTTACGTGCCTTTCATTCAGTATTAAAATATTGAAATCATCTTTTATGAAATCCATTTAAGAGCTAAAGTGCAGTACTAAACCAGCCAAATTAACAAAAGAATCAATAAAAATCACAACAGAAACCAAAACCTTTAATTATTGTTAATATAGTAACATATTACAAAGAAATTGCAGATGGTTTTGCATAAATTCTATTTGAAACCATTGATATTTGATTTACATATTACACTTTATGCTTCATCATGGGGAGTGAACAATAATTTTAAGAGTGAACTGGAAATTTATATTTTTGTAAAAACTTTGCAATTATATTATTACCACAGTGTAATATTTATGGTCTACGCTGAAATGTTTCTAACATTCAGCTGATTAGCCATAAACACAACTCACATATGAGAAAATACAAAGTATTACAAAATAGAAGTTCAATGATACCAGAGTATTTACATTGCTCGTGTCTATGTTGCAAACTACCACAGTTGCTCATCCAAACTATCTAGTGAATATTTGAATTTGGAACTTGCAGGCTTTCAAAAAAAAAATTACTCTCCAATCTGTGCAATTTGCTGATCTTAGATAAGACACTGGTGGAGTATTGCCTTCAAAGCTCTCCTTCGGATTAATTGGCTCAAAGTTCATACCAGTTACCATCCAGTAATCACTGCTGGACATATGCTGGTGTATAAACCAGCTAAAAACAAAATGTGAATGGAATTCAGTTACAAGACTGCAAGGTCAAATTGCCAGTCAACATTCACTGACAGAAACATATTGCAACAGGAATTCACAGACAAAAGATTGGCCAAAATTAGTTATTGTTTCACAGTAAATATCTGATCTGAAATTGTCTGGGGGAAGAGAAAGGTTTTAGTTTTCTACAAAGTTTTGATTACAATACCAGGGAACTAACTTAGCTGCATACTTGAGTGTGATAATATCGTAGTGTTTACTGCAAAGAGGGCAAAAAAAAGGATATTTTATCACACAGTTACATTAACACTATTTACCTAAATTTTGAAACAAGACTTCATTTGGAACCAATTATTAATATGGAAATACATAAGAAAAAAACTTGGCTTACATATTTAATGAAAGCTAGACAAATCAAAAAAGTTGTGTAAAATAGCAACATGCCCGGAATTTGAAGTGAATGGCATGTAGACACCTGTAAAGTGAGAATTTAATTGCTTACCCCCACCATATATGTTGTAAATTTTAACTGTACACCTTAACACAATATTTAAGACCACAGGCCAGAGGGTTCAGGCCATTGTACAAAGTAAGATTACACACTAACTTAATAAATAGTGTTTTTTTCACTCATATTTGAATGCTGACCAAGGATACAACTACCTTTTGTTTTGAACTAAGAAGAGACCATGAGGTAAACTTGAGATAACAAGGTGTAGAGCTGGATGAACACAGCAGGCCAAGCAGCATCAGAGGAGCAGGAAGGCTGACGTTTCGGCCCTAGACCCTTCTTCAGAAAA